CAGACGATACGATTATCAAATCGATCATCGACTTCTGTGCACAAGCTTCCCGGTACCAGGCGTACTGATGTTCGCTTCAGTGCTCAAAGAGGGTGTTATAATAGAACTGCTTGTGCAAAGCCACAATAACTTTATGCCTACATTTGTGAGGTCGCCATTAGTCGGCATTTCGTACAGGGTACATTCTACTTTTTCGAGGAAGGACTCATATTCTCCCTCAAAATTTGGCGCATTCACCTGTAACACGGTAAACGCTTTAGCCGGCTGTGCCTACAATGTGAGGATTGCCACCCTTCTGTTGATAGACTTACATTCAGTGATTCTCTTAGCCAGGTGTGGTTCTACGGTAAAACCGACAGCAGCCTGAAGACTCGTTGTGATATCGATACTTCAGTAGAATAGCTTCCACCTCGAAAGGCTCTCAGTTCCCGAGCATTCGCGCTTCTTTGACAAGAGTCGAGTTTCATCGAATTGGTACTTTGAGGCTTCATTATCTATTATCTGTTCTTTTTGTTTGCGTGGGGATATGTTCGAATTTCTGACTGTAATCTCTACTGGCGTTGTCGTTACCCTTGGAGCCTTTTCTGACGTTCGGTAATGTCATGGCGCTGTCTTCCTACTTTGTTCTGGAGATGCGACCCCATTGCTGATTGGTATTTTCGTCGTCGTTTCGTCGACCTTCGGTAGCAGTTGTTGTGTTGCCACGTCCCTCGTTGCCAGAGGGCGATGTTCATGTTCGCATATTGCTTCAGTTCCCCATCAATTTGTACGGCTCTTGATAATCCGGAGTACGGCTTAGGGGGTTTAATCTTCGATGATGGAAATACCATAAGGGGCAGATGGCTAAGTTTTGCGGAATCTCGCCACGGTTTCCAACCCTCTTTTTTATCTGGACTTGGGATGGCAACGGCGGTGTTCAACGTATATGCTACCGCGTAAAAATTATGAACTGTTCCTACGCCTAACTATGTCAAACAATGATTCCTCTAAGACCAGATTTCAGGAGTCATTTTTTATTTGAAATACGTTGGCGTACGAACAGCTTATGTTGTTTATTGTAAGAAAAAAAGTAAGAAGTGACATTTTCTAATTCTTTTATTTACGTATTTGTTGTTCAAGAGATATACTGAAAAAATATCATTACTACTAGACAAGAATTACTGTCATTATTGTTTCTTTTTCCCCCAGATTTTGAAGAGTGGTACAGAAGTCATTTTATTGAGTTCTGGTTCGATTATTTCAGTACATGCGTTAGCAGCTAGCAGGTTTTATGTTTGATTTACTAAACGTTTTGACTTAATTTCCTTAACCGAAAATATTTGTTACATTTCTGCTGTTTAAATTGTGCAACAAAGCTTTCATCGAATTTTGTGAATGGTCATTCCATTTTTTCTTTATCCAGTCAACGTAGTTGGCAACGTTCGTGTAGACCCCGGGATAACGTCTTTCTCCGCAGCTTTTTCCAAACGATACGATGCCTCTTTGCGTCCATTGCTGAGTTTGGTAGTTGTACTGTACCAGTGGCCCTCCACTGTCTCCCTAAAAAAATAGCAGAACATTTTTGCCTCAGTTTATATTTGAAGAAGAGATTTACCTGACACGTGTCTCTGCTGCCATCTGGCATACCAGCACAAAACATTTCCGGAGTATAGAGCTGAATTCGACGAGTTTTATAGTTCCTTTCGCAACTCCTGAAATCGATCACTCGGACACCCGCCTGCTGTAGTTGTGCACTGCCTTCTCCCTGGGCTAAAAACAAAGCATCAGGAAGGGTTTCGAAAATGGTCTTCGTTCCTGCACAATCCGGTCATATTTCCTCAAGACGAGCTAATAAAATTAGGTACGGAAGATTCACAGATGCTGTTTCTTACAGGGCGATGTTTTATGATTTTTTTATCGTAATAAAATATGTAAACGTTAGTTCACTAACGGAGTGATGCGTAACAGTTCATTATTTTGATTGATTTAATTCGAAGTAGTTCTGAAAATCAGCTATCACAAAAGAAGTTCTTCTAGTACTGTGCCTCACGAGGAGTGGAACTTGTGTTGTTGCACGAGTGGTTGGATTGAATGCCTTCTGAATTTTCTTCCGTTTGCTCTTGATCTACGTAACGTTTCCATTTGTCATTGTAAAGGTCCAACAAGTGCAGTAAATTGGAATTCATGAACTTCTGACAATATAATCATTACAGTTCGTTCTCTTTAATGATCTATCTGAAGCATAACTTAATGTGATCGAATAAGAATAAGAATTTAATGCCATATGTCTAAATTTTCAATGCGTGACTCGACAAATGGCACTGGGAACAATTTATTAAGTGTAAATCAATTTCTTAAACTAAATGAGGTTCCATTTTGGTATAAATTTTACATTTCGTTGTTAAGTAGTTGCTATGATCGAAATGTTACTCATAATCGATGGCATTAATGCAACGCTAGCACCGAAGTTTTAAAAATTTTTAGTTTCGAATAACTGCTTTTAGTAATCATCATGCTTGTGTATTTCTCTTAAAACTTTCTTATCTGATTAATCCTAATTCACCATTGCATAATCGTTGCAACTGCATTAGCAGGAAATAGCTTACATATAATCCAACTCACCTGTAGTTAGTCCCCAACCTGTTACGAAAATGTGCTTTCTGGCTGTTGGAGGCTTTTCGCCCTGGCGTGGCAGACATATCGGTGAAACGTGGTCCGTGTAACGAACAGAGGACGATAGCTAAAAATAATTTTAGTTAATATTTTGAAAATGTCTAAAATTTTTACCTGCAGAAGAGCGATATCGTTTTTCGTCGTTGCTGTATCAAACTGTTCATGAATAATTATTTTGGCGGGTGTCATTTGCATAGATCCGCCTTCTGATGTAGCTTCTTTGTTGTAGATGCCCAGTTTTACGACTATCTCTGCAGCTGAAGACTGGCTGTAAAGACAATGAGCTGCTGTGAGTATCCACTCGTTAGCGATCAGAGTTCCTCCGCAAAACTGCATCAAGCTGCCATCCCATCCAACCTTGTAGAGGGCTACCTGCCATGGCCAACTGTATGGAACTGACGGCCGACCACCAACGATTCTAGTAATGTCCGGCTTTATCACTGGCTTCCCACACTTTTGTGCATTAGCAGTCGTCACAAGACCTAAACTGATATTGTTAGCTGACTTCCATTGTTACATTTAACTTAATTAACTTCTTTAGCTGTACATCTGCGTACTTTTGAAGTAATTAATTTACTCAAAGGAATGAATTCAGTCGTCAAGTTTTCAGAACTAAATAAAATAGTCAATTTTCCCTTTGAACTTCAAACGTAACTAATTTTGAGTCATTGACTGTAACAAGTTGAATAACCTTTATTACGAATGCAAAAATTACAATAAACTATTAAGTTATTACTATAGCTTATAATTTCTATGGTGACATAATGTGTAAATTTGATAGAAGTGTATATTTGTATTCCCTTGGTCTTCGTCATCCAGGTTTCGTCAGTGACTATTTGCTCAAATTTCTCCTGTCACTCCTCCAACATCGCTCTTGGACTTTCATTATTTACAGTTCATGTATCATCAATCTCAGATGAGCGCGTAAAAAATATGAATGAAATGACCGCTGTCTTTTTTAAGAGATTGATATTGATGCAGGTTCGCAAATTCGTTCGTTTAGAAGTTCTTCCCTGGGAGGAAATGTGTCAGTCACTGACTGAAACTTCAAAAGTTTGTGACTACTTGTCATGGTAGTTTTAGAGGATGAGGCAAACCTGTTTTGTTCTATTGTCTTACACATGATCCATTATTTTGGTCACTGTACGTTCTCAGTTTTGTTGACCACAAGGTTGAAATTCTGTAAAGCATTTTATTATAACATTTCTTTAAAGGCCGCTATTGTTAATTATTAACAGTTCCATAACGCCGTCTTTAAATCTGTTGCTTATCACTATTAATCTTCTATTATTCTACAACAGTTACATGATTGCATCATGCCGTCTGCGGTACAAACAGCATATTACACTTGATGTGTCTGTTGAGATGATCACTTTGAGCAGTTTGCATTATTCATTCATTCATTCTTACATAGGTATTCCCGAAAGAATACGAGGAGTAGCAATACAATGGCAGAAAGGGGTATTTACGTATGCTAGTTCAACGAAAGATCACTCATGTTTCTGGTTTGTGATGTTCCCGGTATTCACAGCTTTTCAACACTTCCTCTAAGACACGATTGTTGTATTATAGAAGGAACAATTGTTCAGAAAGCAGATTTGCTACTGCCTTATTCCTCCATGTTGTACGCTGGTCTCCTTATCGACTTACACCGTTTCGGTCCCTACACTTCCAGTTCATGGTCTGGAATGAATTTTCGTATAGGATGTCTGACTCTTCTTACGTCTTCTTCCGACAGGTATCAAGTTCCGTGCATGCAGAAGAACGGGTATGCCACTTGTTTGAAGTAAATAAAGGTTTAAAACGTTTGAATTATGGTGTATAACCGTAAAGGAAGGTCTTGATTGAGAAAATTATCGTTTCGTAATTAAAGGACGATGATCGTTAAACTATTGTTTAGCCAATAAGATACTCATAACTTTAGCCATAATTTAATGGTAATAATCAGTAATCACGTTACCTAATATTGTTATTGCATTTACATTAATAATAACAGTGTAAAAACCTATTGGTTCTTACTACAATAAGACAGAGCGTGTAATTCTTATCATCTATGATTTTGCAAGCAGTAAATAAAGGCTTGTGACAAACGAAACTGTCAGTGAGTCACTTTGTTTCTATGACCGCTAGTCTTTTGCGGTCAAGGAGGAAGACGCTTCAGACTTTACCTCCAACTGTTAACTTTTGAGCTTCGGTAGAAGATAACACAAGTTTTCAGCAAGTTGTTTAGAGGTAGTTTTTCTGACTTATTCTTAGTCTTCTTAGTCTCTTGGAGTCTTCAGACTCAGCTCTGCTTTCATCACAGTGGTTCGAGCCAATTCGCGCAGAACAAACACCGGTCCATCTTCTCCACCTGCTCCAGTGCCTCCGTTAATCTGAAGAGAGCAACAGACAGGATGATGAGAAAACACTATGCTTTTGGTTTTACACACGTTCACATGCACGGGTTTCGTCGCTCTCGGATGCTAACCTTTCCGTAGCGCGCTGTAGATCAGTTTCAGACGATGCAGACAGAAAAGGTCTTCTGCAAAGAGCAGCTTCCTCGTCTCTATTTCTCTATGTGGATACACTTATCACCATGGTTGCGCCTGACTATCGTATACTTGTATAACGCAAACAGTGGAGGCCATAGAACGCAGCCGTATCGGAGGCCAGCGCCAACTGTGAAAACAAGGTTTAACGCCATTTACTTATAGTGACTGAATGCTTTGTATCGGCCGGTGTTTGCGGGCACGCCCACGTGTTGATGCGCTAGATCCGGTCGCAGACTTTCTATAGATTCACACTACTATTCTTGAATATTAAACTCAGTTATTTCTCTGCCCCTACTTTCTAAAGCTTTTGAGTAAACCTCCTGTGAGGTTCAATAAGCTATTTTCAAGACAACTGAAGCACTCTCTATGGTCTCCCTTTTTGAAAAGTAGTGTTAGCATCCTAGGTGACTAGTCGACTGGTGATTTTCCCGTAACGATTGCAGTCTGACATGCGTGGTAGCCATGATGTGCCTTGTTTGCCTAAAGCTTTATGCATCACACTGTGAATTTCTTAGATTCCAGAAGCCTTACCATTTTTCAAGCCTTTTACTGCTTCTCAGACTTCTGTTGAAAGATTAACATCCGTCGTATGCTGCTCTGAAGCGAATCTTCCTACGGCTGCATAGGTGAAGAAGTGCGATATGAAAAAGCTGGCAAAGCAAAGGCAAAAATAATGGCCAAGAGAAAGCTGATCCATGGCAAAAGTTGAGCGAAGGGCTGGCGGTCGAATTTCAAGGCAGAAATCAAGGTATTCTCGCAGGCCAACCACCGCCTCCGACATTGAAGAAACAGTCTGAGTGCTGAAGAACAAATCTGGACATTTTCTTAGCAGGGAAGAGGATGTACTTAGATGAACTTCTTGACCCCCAGCAACCGCAAAAATACTCGCCTAAATGGTGCCGCAATGACAAGTCCGCTGGAATCAATTGGATTCGCCCTAAGATGCCTAAATCTTAATGCGGACAGCGTTATGACTCAGACGTGCACATAAAACTGTAAGTACTGTGGCGAAGGTGCCGTTTTGTTCTGGAGAACTGTAGTGACACTAATTCTATTCAGAAAGGAGACCATGGAGACTGCTCCAGTTACGGGGGCATTATTGTATTGAGCCTCATAGAGAAATTGAGCACAAAACTTTTGAAATGTAGTTGTGGCAGAATTGTTGATTGAGATCCAAGAAGAGCAGTGTGGCTTCAAATCAGGCTTATGCATTCTTGACCGAACCTCATCGTACGCCAGATTGTCGAGAAATCGCGAGAATTCTCTCCTCCGGTTTAGGTGCCGTTTGCTGACTGACCTGGAGAAAGCCGATGTCCGGATTCCTACAGCAAGCTATTAATGTATCCAGAGTATGGTATCGATGGCCAGCCAGTTGTTACAAGTATGTTGATAGTAAGTGCTTTCAATGGCGTTAGGTCGAAGCATTTCAAGGTTAGCACTGGTCTTTTCCAGCGCTGGATGTTGTTTTGTAGGCATTTTCTAAAACTGATTTCCAGTGCTCAGTGCGACTTGGCCGTCATGAACGTAGCTAAAGCCAGAAGTCAGTTCTTGTTTGTTCTCCTGACCGCTGCGTTTTGCAGATTACCGGAGTCGTGTTTCCTGTTTATGAAAAATTGGAAGGATGAATCTACCTGAAAATTGGAATGACCAGTGGCGTTCGGTGTGAGCCAGCCCGAACCGTTTGACTAAGTGAGAGCTAAGTCTGAAGACTAAGCTCTGTGTTTTCAAGTCGATCTTCGCCCTCATGCGCACCTACCCTACTGTTATGAGTCGTGGACTGTAACTTGAAAAATTTCGTTCTCGCGTACAGTCGGCCGAAATGGATCCTGTGTGCTGTGCTGGCGCGTCTCGAGGTGATTAGGGGCTATGAATTTCGGGAGTTTCTTGGTATAGAACCGCTGTTTCTGATGATGCTGGAACGGTTTTTATACACATGTAGTGCCTTGAGAAAGCTCAAATGACCTGACGAAGACCCGAGGACTACCAAGAACAACCTAGAACAAGTGCTTTCAAAGACATGAGACTTCTGTAGAAGCTCAGTAGCGGGAAGCGAGCACAGCATTTGAACGTTGGACACACTATCGACGCGTCTTTCTCGGCCGCTCGAAAGGACCAGCAGATTTCGAAAGTGATTAACTGGCATCTCTTTACAGTTGGCTGGTCGCCTGCGAGATTACTTAATAAGTTAATTAAATTAATTTATTGCTACTGGTTTGAAGCCAATATTTCGTTTTCAAGAACAGTACGGCCATTCGTGATACTCAGGCAGTTGTAGTCGATCATAGAAACGGACCGGCGTAAAAATTACACTTCATTCATACATTTTCATATATTTTCATTTGTTACTTGATGATCGTTTTCTTAAAATGGCATTGCAGAACATCTAATGATCATCGACTTTATGGGTGTTAGCTACATAAATGACCTAATGTGATAATTTCTCTCATCGTTCGGTGGCGTTTCTTCTCATAATTGAGGATAAAACCATTTAAGCATTTAAATATCAATTTATAGCTTCGAAACTTACTTATTAATATCCAAAGTATCGTCCGGGTCATTCTCTACTTCAACACAGCGTTCACAACTGACTTGTTTCCAAAGAGCCGTATGGCACGACTTTATCATTTCGTTTCATGACATTACAGGAAAACACGTTTTTCTGGGATTTCGTTGTTTGCTTTCACCTTCTTGCTATCGATATCATCAGATACGAATGAAGTGTTTTCCTATGACTTAGCAGCCAGCAAAGTACACAGCACTGATTCTGCTCAGTTTCTGACCATTGGGTGCTACTATCTGCTT